CTTTGTTTAGTAACTTTTTTTTCGAACAGAATATTAATTACAGTGTTTTTTAACAAAAAAAAAAAAAAAATTTATATAGCATATGATTGTAAAAAGTTTTCTGACGCATACAAAAGTTCTGCAAACCGGTTCTAAACTTTTTTAATTTTTTCTTTTTATTTATACTAAAGAAAAGTGGAAAACTTTCAAAGCTTTTTTTTGTGTTTCTTTTCAGTTTCTTTTTTCTTTTTTTATTTAATAGTTTAATTAATAGAAAGATTTAAATATAAGTAACTGTAAAATTTTTTGGCGACAGAAATAGAAGATTTTTTATGATAATGCTTAAAATCGTAATTTTTGTGCAAGTTATAGAATTATAGTGCAACAACTGAAGCTACAGATCTTGAGAACAATGTTAGTTAAAATCTGAAGTTTTAAGATAAAATAATTAGTCTAAAGGTAAGGTAGATTTAAATGATGGACAGTGGTTCCGAGTTAGCTGTGAGGATCGACGGTCACAACGATATCACGGTGTTCAGTAATCTTCACCTCTTCTATGCACAGACTGAAAGTTCATATTGGTAAAAATAGGTTTCTTGTCGTTTTTTGTCTTTAGATGTCGATCGGCGAACAGTGTAATCTGTGGCTACTGATAATGGCATATTGTTATTTAAACTACTGGAGATTGACAATCAAAAAATACTTGATGATTCTCAAGCAATCTTATTTTGTTTTATATATATGGTATCGTTTCGTTTATTAACAGAATGAGACGTAACAATGTTTTAAAAAATTTCATTTTACTATTGTACATTTTCAGATGACTACAGGACATGTCAAACTCTTATAATTTATTGTGGTTTTTATAGAAACTTTTCGTAGCCATTTTTTCTGCTGATTTACTAAGGTAAGATCTGAAAAGACATTGGAAGAGGTGCTACAAAAAAAAAAAAAAGCATGTTACTGTGAAGTTGACGTGTTCTCATTTTCATTTAAAATAATCTAATTCAACTGCTTTGTTAAAAGCAGTCATTGTAATTTTACATCTATCTTTTATTTATTTTTTTACTAGTTTTTCTGTTGGCTACAAGTAAAAAATCAGATTTTCTCAGTGAACTGTTCAACAAAAATTTTATTTTGATGAGAAACTGTAAAGAAAAGTAGACCTTTGATTAGTAAAGCGCAACGGGTGGGAGAGAGGGGAGAGAGAAGGGGTGTGGAGTAGAGGTTGCAAAAAATTTTCACCTTAAATTTCTTCTTCTTTTCCATCTTCAGTTTTTTTTTTT